TGTGTGTGTGTACTGTGTGTGTGTACTGTGTACTGTGTGTGTACTGTGTGTGTATACTGTGTGTACTGTGTGTGTGTACTGTGTGTGTGTACTGTGTGTGTACTGTGTGTGTACTGTGTGTGTACTGTGTGTGTGTACTGTGTGTGTGTACTGTGTGTATACTGTGTGTGTATACTGTGTGTGTACTGTGTGTACTGTGTGTGTGTACTGTGTGTGTACTGTGTGTGTGTACTGTGTGTGTGTACTGTGTGTGTACTGTGTGTGTACTGTGTGTACTGTGTGTGTGTACTGTGTGTGTGTACTGTGTGTACTGTGTGTGTATACTGTGTGTGTGTACTGTGTGTGTGTACTGTGTGTGTACTGTGTGTACTGTGTGTGTACTGTGTGTGTACTGTGTGTGTGTACTGTGTGTGTGTACTGTGTGTGTACTGTGTGTGTGTACTGTGTGTACTGTGTGTGTACTGTGTGTGTACTGTGTGTATACTGTGTGTGTGTATACTGTGTGTACTGTGTGTGTGTACTGTGTGTACTGTGTGTGTGTAGTGTGTGTGTACTGTGTGTGTGTACTGTGTGTGTATACTGTGTGTGTGTATTGTGTGTGTACTGTGTGTGTACTGTGTGTGTGTACTGTGTGTGTGTACTGTGTGTGTACTGTGTGTATATACTGTGTGTGTACTGTGTGTGTACTGTGTGTACTGTGTGTGTACTGTGTGTGTACTGTGTGTGTACTGTGTGTGTGTACTGTGTACTGTGTGTGTGTACTGTGTGTGTAGTGTGTGTGTACTGTGTGTGTGTACTGTGTGTGTACTGTGTGTGTGTACTGTGTGTGTGTACTGTGTGTGTACTGTGTGTGTACTGTGTGTGTGTACTGTGTGTGTGTACTGTGTGTGTACTGTGTGTGTGTACTGTGTGTACTGTGTGTACTGTGTGTGTACTGTGTGTACTGTGTGTGTACTGTGTGTGTGTGTACTGTGTGTGTGTGTACTGTGTGTGTACTGTGTGTGTGTACTGTGTGTGTGTACTGTGTGTGTACTGTGTGTGTGTACTGTGTGTGTGTACTGTGTGTGTACTGTGTGTGTGTACTGTGTGTGTACTGTGTGTACTGTGTGTGTGTACTGTGTACTGTGTGTGTACTGTGTGTGTACTGTGTGTGTGTACTGTGTGTGTACTGTGTGTGTGTACTGTGTGTGTACTGTGTGTGTACTGTGTGTGTGTACTGTGTGTGTACTGTGTGTGTGTGTACTGTGTGTGTACTGTGTGTGTGTGTACTGTGTGTACTGTGTGTGTACTGTGTGTGTACTGTGTGTGTACTGTGTGTGTGTACTGTGTGTGTACTGTGTGTGTACTGTGTAGGACTGTGTGTGTACTGTGTGTGTACTGTGTGTGTACTGTGTGTGTACTGTGTGTGTACTGTGTGTGTACTGTGTGTATACTGTGTGTGTGTATACTGTGTGTACTGTGTGTGTGTACTGTGTGTACTGTGTGTGTGTAGTGTGTGTGTACTGTGTGTGTGTACTGTGTGTGTATACTGTGTGTGTGTATTGTGTGTGTACTGTGTGTGTACTGTGTGTGTGTACTGTGTGTAGTGTGTGTGTGTACTGTGTGTGTACTGTGTGTATATACTGTGTGTGTACTGTGTGTGTACTGTGTGTACTGTGTGTGTACTGTGTGTGTACTGTGTGTGTACTGTGTGTGTGTACTGTGTACTGTGTGTGTGTACTGTGTGTGTAGTGTGTGTGTACTGTGTGTGTGTACTGTGTGTGTACTGTGTGTGTGTACTGTGTGTGTGTACTGTGTGTGTACTGTGTGTGTACTGTGTGTGTATACTGTGTGTGTGTACTGTGTGTGTACTGTGTGTGTGTACTGTGTGTACTGTGTGTACTGTGTGTGTACTGTGTGTACTGTGTGTGTACTGTGTGTGTGTGTACTGTGTGTGTGTGTACTGTGTGTGTACTGTGTGTGTGTACTGTGTGTGTGTACTGTGTGTGTACTGTGTGTGTGTACTGTGTGTGTGTACTGTGTGTGTACTGTGTGTGTGTACTGTGTGTGTACTGTGTGTACTGTGTGTGTGTACTGTGTACTGTGTGTGTACTGTGTGTGTACTGTGTGTGTGTACTGTGTGTGTACTGTGTGTGTGTACTGTGTGTGTACTGTGTGTGTGTACTGTGTGTGTACTGTGTGTGTGTGTACTGTGTGTGTACTGTGTGTGTGTGTACTGTGTGTACTGTGTGTGTACTGTGTGTGTACTGTGTGTGTACTGTGTGTGTGTACTGTGTGTGTACTGTGTGTGTACTGTGTAGGACTGTGTGTGTACTGTGTGTGTACTGTGTGTGTACTGTGTGTGTACTGTGTACTGTGTGTACTGTGTGTGTATACTGTGTGTGTACTGTGTGTACTGTGTGTGTATACTGTGTGTGTACTGTGTGTGTACTGTGTGTATACTGTGTGTACTGTGTGTGTGTACTGTGTGTGTGTACTGTGTGTGTACTGTGTGTGTGTACTGTGTGTGTGTACTGTGTACTGTGTGTGTACTGTGTGTGTATACTGTGTGTACTGTGTGTGTGTGTACTGTGTGTGTGTACTGTGTGTGTGTGTACTGTGTGTGTGTACTGTGTGTGTACTGTGTGTGTGTACTGTGTGTATACTGTGTGTGTATACTGTGTGTGTACTGTGTGTACTGTGTGTGTGTACTGTGTGTGTACTGTGTGTGTGTACTGTGTGTGTGTACTGTGTGTGTGTACTGTGTGTGTACTGTGTGTGTGTACTGTGTGTGTACTGTGTGTGTACTGTGTGTGTACTGTGTGTGTGTACTGTGTGTGTACTGTGTGTACTGTGTGTGTACTGTGTGTGTACTGTGTGTGTACTGTGTGTGTGTACTGTGTGTATATACTGTGTGTGTACTGTGTGTGTGTACTGTGTGTACTGTGTGTGTGTACTGTGTGTACTGTGTGTACTGTGTGTATACTGTGTGTGTGTACTGTGTGTGTGTACTGTGTGTGTACTGTGTGTACTGTGTGTACTGTGTGTATACTGTGTGTGTGTACTGTGTGTGTGTACTGTGTGTGTGTACTGTGTGTGTGTACTGTGTGTACTGTGTGTATACTGTGTGTGTACTGTGTGTACTGTGTGTACTGTGTGTACTGTGTGTGTATTGTGTGTGTGTACTGTGTGTACTGTGTGTGTACTGTGTGTACTGTGTGTGTACTGTGTGTGTGTACTTTGTGTGTGTACTGTGTGTGTACTGTGTGTACTGTGTGTGTAGTGTGTACTGTGTGTGTACTGTGTGTGTGTACTGTGTGTACTGTGTGTGTACTGTGTGTGTACTGTGTGTGTACTGTGTGTGTGTACTGTGTGTGTACTGTGTGTGTATACTGTGTGTGTACTGTGTGTACTGTGTGTGTACTGTGTGTGTACTGTGTGTATACTGTGTGTGTACTGTGTGTACTGTGTACTGTGTGTACTGTGTGTGTACTGTGTGCGTACTGTGTGTACTGTGTGTGTACTGTGTGTGTGTACTGTGTGTGTACTGTGTGTGTACTGTGTGTACTGTGTGTATGTACTGTGTGTGTGTACTGTGTGTGTACTGTGTGTGTATACTGTGTACTGTGTGTGTACTGTGTGTGTACTGTGTGTACTGTGTGTACTGTGTGTGTACTGTGTGTACTGTGTGTGTGTACTGTGTGTGTACTGTGTGTGTACTGTGTGTGTGTACTGTGTGTGTGTACTGTGTGTGTGTACTGTGTGTACTGTGTGTGTGTACTGTGTGTGTACTGTGTGTACTGTGTGTGTGTACTGTGTGTGTACTGTGTGTACTGTGTGTGTACTGTGTGTGTACTGTGTGTACTGTGTATGTGTACTGTGTGTGTGTACTGTGTGTACTGTGTGTGTGTGTACTGTGTGTACTGTGTGTGTACTGTGTGTGTGTACTGTGTGTGTGTACTGTGTGTATATACTGTGTGTGTACTGTGTGTGTGTACTGTGTGTATACTGTGTGTGTGTACTGTGTGTGTACTGTGTGTACTGTGTGTACTGTGTGTGTATACTGTGTGTGTATACTGTGTGTGTACTGTGTGTGTACTGTGTGTGTACTGTGTGTACTGTGTGTGTGTACTGTGTGTACTGTGTGTGTGTACTGTGTGTACTGTGTGTGTACTGTGTGTGTACTGTGTGTGTACTGTGTGTGTACTGTGTGTGTGTACTGTGTGTGTGTACTGTGTGTGTACTGTGTGTGTACTGTGTGTGTGTACTGTGTGTGTACTGTGTGTGTACTGTGTGTACTGTGTGTGTGTACTGTGTGTGTACTGTGTGTGTGTACTGTGTGTGTGTACTGTGTGTGTACTGTGTGTGTGTACTGTGTGTGTGTACTGTGTGTGTGTACTGTGTACTGTGTGTGTGTACTGTGTGTACTGTGTGTGTGTACTGTGTGTACTGTGTGTGTGTACTGTGTGTACTGTGTGTGTACTGTGTGTACTGTGTGTGTACTGTGTGTGTGTACTGTGTACTGTGTGTGTGTACTGTGTGTACTGTGTGTGTACTGTGTGTGTACTGTGTGTGTATACTGTGTGTGTGTGTACTGTGTGTGTGTACTGTGTGTGTACTGTGTGTGTGTACTGTGTGTGTGTACTGTGTGTGTATACTGTGTGTGTACTGTGTGTGTACTGTGTGTGTACTGTGTGTACTGTGTGTGTGTACTGTGTGTGTGTACTGTGTGTGTGTACTGTGTGTATACTGTGTGTGTACTGTGTGTACTGTGTGTGTACTGTGTGTGTGTGTACTGTGTGTGTACTGTGTGTACTGTGTGTACTGTGTACTGTGTGTGTACTGTGTGTGTGTACTGTGTACTGTGTGTGTACTGTGTGTACTGTGTGTGTACTGTGTGTACTGTGTGTACTGTGTGTGTACTGTGTGTGTACTGTGTGTGTGTACTGTGTACTGTGTGTGTACTGTGTGTACTGTGTGTGTACTGTGTGTACTGTGTGTGTACTGTGTGTACTGTGTAGGACTGTCACAACAAGCTGTGTACCCACGTGCTCTGCTCCGGCCTCCTGCTCCGGCCAGGCGATGCGATGGACATCACCCTGGCACTGACTCTAACTGTGCCCACAATCACCAAGGTGGGAGATAAACTCCTCACTCACCCACTCACTAACTCACTCACTAACTCACTCACCCACTCAAACACTCACACACTCACTCACCCACTCAGTCACCCACTCACCCACTCAGTCACTCACTCACCCACTCACTCACTCACTCACCCACTCAGTCACCCACTCACCCACTCAGTCACTCACTCACTCACCCACTCACTCACTCACCCACTCAGTCACCCACCCACCCACTCACCTACTCACTCACCCACTCACTCACTCACCCACTCACTCACTCACCCACTCAGTCACCCACTCACTCACTCACCCACTCACTCACTCACCCACTCACTCACTCACCCACTCACTCACTCACCCACCCACTCACTCACCCACTCGCTCACTCAGACACTCACTCACTCACCCACTCACTCACTCACCCACTTACTCACCCACTCACTCCCTCACCCACTCACTCACTCACCCACTCACCCACCCACTGACTCACCCACTCACTCACACACTCACTCACCCACTCACCCAATGACTTACCCACTCACTCACCCACTCACTCACTCACCCTCTCACTCACTCACCCACTCACTCACCCACTCACTCACTCACCCACTCACTCACTCACCCACTCACTCACCCACTCACTAACTGTGTGTACTATATGTACTGTGCGCACTGTATGTACTGTATGCACTGTATGCGAACTGTGTGCACTGTATGCACTGTATGTGCGCTGCGTATACTGTATTTACCGCATGTGTATTGTATGTACTGTATTACTGTGTATACTGTATATGTACTGTGTGCGTTGTGTGTACTGTATGTCCTGTGTGTGTAATGTATGTACTGTATGTGTACTTATGTGCTGTGTATGTACTGTGTGTACTGTGTGTGTACTGTGTATGTACTATGTGCGAACTGTTGTACTGTATGTACTGTACGCGCACTGTATGCGCTGCACGCACTGTATGTATTGTATGTGCTGCGTGCACTGTATATACTGTATGTGTACTGCGCATGTACTGTGTGCGCACTGTATGCACTGTATGTGCACTGTATGTGTTGTGTGTGCTGTATGTACTTGTGTTCTGCATGTACTGTATGTACTATGTGTACTGTATGCACTGTACGTACACTATATGTGTTGCGCGCACTGCATGCACTGTATGCACTGTGTGCACTGTGTGCACTGTATGTACTGTTCGTGCACTTATGTACTGTGTGTACTTATGTACTGTTTGTGTACTGTATGTGCACTTTATGCACTGTATGTACTGTGTGCACTGTATGTGTACTGTATGTACTGTGTGTACTGTGTGTACTGTATGTGTACTTATGCACTGTATGTTCTTATGTGCTGTGTATGTACTGTATGTACTGTGTGTGTACTGTATGTACTGTGTGTACTGTGTGTGTACTGTTTGTACTGTGTGAACTGTGTGTACTGTATGTACTGTGTGTGTACTGTGTGTGTACTGTATGTACTGTGTGTGTACTGTTTGTACTGTGTGTACTGTGTGTGTACTGTATGTACTGTGTGTGTACTGTGTGTGTACTGTATGTACTGTGTGTGTACTGTGTGTGTACTGTTGTACTGTGTGTGTACTGTGTGTGTACTGTATGTACTGTGTGTGTACTGTGTGTGTACTGTATGTACTGTGTGTGTACTGTGTTTGTACTGTGTGTACTGTACGAGTACTGTGTGTGTACTGTGTGTACTGTATGTACTATGTGTGTGTAGTGTGTGTGTGTATACTGTGTGTATGTACTGTATGTACTGTGTGTACTGTATGTACTGTGTGTACTGTATGTACTGTGTGTGTACTCAGGAGGTTGAGAGTAAGTTGGTGATCGTGAGCTCGGCCCAGCTGCACGTGGACACAAGTCGCTTCCGTCTCTCATCCAGACACAACTTTCACTCCTCACAGGTAGCTGGTAACAACAACATCAACATCATCATCAACAACATCATCATCAACATCATCAACATCATCAACAACGTCAACATCAACAACATCATCAACATCAACAACATCAACATCATCAACAACAACATCAACAACATCATCAACAACATCATCATCAACATCATCAACAACGTCAACATCAACAACATCATCAACAACATCAACATCAACAACAACAACATCATCAACAACAACATCATCAACATCATCACCATCATCATCATCAACAACATCAACAACAACAACATCATCATCAACAACAACATCATCAACATCATCAACAACGTCAACAACATCAACAACAACATCATCATCATCATCAACAACAACATCATCAACATCATCAACATCATCAACAACATCAACAACATCAACAACAACAACAACAACATCATCAACATCATCATCAACATCAACATCATCAACAACATCAACATCATCAACATCATCAACAACGTCAACATCAACAACATCATCATCAACATCATCAACATCATCACCATCATCAACATCATCAACAACGTCAACATCAACAACATCATCATCAACATCAACAACATCAACATCATCATCAACAACAACATCATCAACATCATCACCATCAACAACAACAACATCAACAACATCATCAACATCAACAACATCATCATCATCAACATCATCAACAACAACATCATCATCAACATCATCAACAACGTCAACATCAACAACATCATCAACATCAACAACATCATCATCATCAACATCATCAACAACAACATCATCAACATCATCATCAACATCATCAACGTCAACATCAACAACATCATCAACAACAACATCATCAACATCATCACCATCATCAACATCATCAACAACGTCAACATCAACAACATCATCAACAACATCAACAACAACATCAACATCAACAACAACAACATCATCATCAACATCAACAACATCATCAACATCATCATCATCAACATCATCATCATCAACAACATCAACAACATCATCAACATCATCATCATCATCAACAACATCAACATCAACAACATCATCATCAACAACAACATCAACAACATCATCAACATCAACATCATCATCAACAACAACATCATCATCAACATCATCATCATCAACATCAACATGATCATCAACCACGTCATCATCAACATCATCAACATCATCAACATCATCATCAACAACATCAACATCATCATCAACATCATCAACCACGTCATCATCAACATCATCATCAACATCATCATCAACAACATCAACAACATCAACATCATCATCATCAACAACATCATTGTCAACATCAACATCATCAACAACATCATTGTCAACATCAACATCATCATCAACCACGTCATCATCAACCACGTCATCATCAACATCATCATCAACAACATCATCATCATCAACAACAACATCATCATCAACAACATCATCAACAACAACATCATCATTAACATCATCATCATCAACATCATCAACAACATCGTCATCATCAACATCATCATCAACATCAT